CCCCCCCCCCCCCCACGTCCTCGTGATGCCTAGATCCTAAATCACCTATTTGAATGGGGCGGATGTCTAAAGCTCTCTTGATCTCACACTGTTTCATGTAGAAAGAGTCTTTCTGTGGGCAGCTGCTACTGCCATTGAAAACAATGAGTTTGAGGGGAAGAAACTTATAAATATGGGGTTTCAATTGATGAGGTTTCAGAAGACCTCGAAGTTATTACATATTATTATTACACCTGATCAATAAACAAATTAAATTAAAGTTGGAAATTTTTCAAAACATTGGAGGACATTCGTTGGATTGTATTTTTGAATTTAGCATATCTTGCAATGCAGTTTTACAGTAGTAATAAAATTTTTTTGATAAAATTAAAACTTACAAGGAACTGTTTTCTGATATAAGTTTTCTCGAATAATCGTTTGAAGTTCTCCAGGAGACTTTCTATCGGCAAGAAGTTCGCAAATATCGTCACTTATGGCTCCAGCTGGAAGTATTTCTATAGCAATCTGATCATGCTCTCGCATCATATCCTCCAATATCCGATTCACTTCTGATCGAACCATTCCGGATATTTTTCTGAATAAATTATAATCACTATTAAAATGCTTGACTGCAATAAGCTTACATATTCTCCACGGTAAGTAAAATATCGTTGGGATTGACTATTCCTATCAAATCGTCTCTACGAACAATATCAATAAGTATCAATCTTCCAATTGATGCACCACCATGAACTGTGAAAGGAGAGACAAAGTCGCGAGATGAAGAGTTTCCAGAGTCTGAGTGACATGAAGACGTCGTCGAGAGGTGATGATGTTCGCTTGCGATTCGGATGAGACGGCGGGCAGCCAAACCTGCTTGAACTGAAAAATGTTTATTGAAATATATCGACTTCATTATTGATTACAATAACTATTTTATCACAAGACCTTATTTTAAAATAGCTAATTAAACAATTTTTCGAAATTAAAACTTACGTTTATCGGCAGAATCAAGAGAGGTACTCGGGCTGCTCGTGCAATCGAGCATTTCTTGAAGAGTGGCCTGAAAACTTGGGTTAGCGAATTCAGAAGAATAGGCAAAGAATAAGTGGTCGAGAAGAGCCTCGCTCCTACTTCACTAATCCTTCTTTCTTTTGAATAAACAAAAAGGAATAGAAGAAGTGGTTCGGCGAGTTTTGAAATGTTTTATATTAACTGCAAAAAAAGCGAATTAGATACCTGAAGTTTTTCAATTTCCAAAGTGAAATCATCTTTGTCTTCTGCACATTCTGATGGCAATCCAATATTGAGGTGGAGCTCTGTAATATTGAGGTGGAGCTCTGCATTTATTTAAATATCCCCAATAGCCACACTTACCACTAGTTTTTTCCGTCATCCTGGATTTTATTTGGTCGTTGTGTTATCATTCAGAGAATATTGAACTGCTTTCTCTCTGAAAAGAAAAAAAGATGGATGGAAAACTCTTCAAAGTTAGGCGGGACCTCATGAGAAGTGGTTCGCATAAATTTTACGAAAACATATAAATATTTATTACGACACAGCTTTTCGGCGGCGACCTCAAGAGAAAACGAGTAAGAGCCGAGAGATGAGAGATGCCCACCGCGGGAGCAGAACAAATGTTCGACAAATTTATGAGTAAACGGGAGCACAGAAGATGAGAAACTGCCGCGTGAATATGAACCGAGGTCTCGAGTCGGGCGCCGTCAAGATGACATATGAATGATGAGTCAGAGATTGAATAAGAAGAAGAACAGACAAAGTGGAGCGACGGAGAATTGAGAAAACTTATGCATAAAGAGAGCATGTTATAGCAGTTTTGAATGAATTTAGATTTTCAGAATTCTTTCAAGTCATCCGGAAAAATGGGAAAATTCGTGGTCTATGGTGAAAAAAGTAGAATAGCATATGAAAATTCGAGAGCACAATAAAACTGAAAACACTCAAGAAATTGGGGAATATTTGGGGGAGGAGAGCTGGTCACCGTTGAAAGTGTCAAAATGGTCGGTTCACCACTCCCAAAACATTCCTTGAAACCTGCATTTCTTTCTAAACGGACCTCTCTACCTGTTATTGATCTCAAAGATTATTATGGGGAGACTAAACGTACCATATTAGTTCAAGTACAACAAATTAAAACCCATTTTGCAGATACAACTCGCCCTCCGCGGGAAGGAGAAGTTGATGGTGAACACTATCGGTTTGTATCCGTAGACGACTTCAACAAATTATTAGATAATGGAGATCTTCTGGAGAATGGAACTTATCAAGGTATATAATTTTACTTTTAATTCATAAATTAGAAAACAATTGAACAACTTGTTTAACTACTTACTGTCATGCATACATAATTCATTCCGAAATCCCGCAAATAATTCTGTGCACCTGGCTTCCTTTTTCGGCATCTCTTTTTGAGATTACGCCCGATTTCTCAGCTCCATCTGCCAGTCCTCCTTCTCTTCTCTCATCATCACCATCTTCCCTTGTTACTTGGTTTTCTACCTCAGTTGTCTTTCCTCCTCACCTTGCGCAATAAT